CATCCATCACCATGGTTCCTGCCAGAGGAAATCAGAGTTCACCCTAAGCAACCAGACAGGACAGAAATAGAGGTTTTTTTTTTTTTTTTTCCCAGCCTGGACAGGTGATTGGTCTGCAATGGTGAAGTCTGGGATTTCCCAGGAATGCGAATAAGACATGGTTGGAGCCCAAATGGTACACCATGTGTCTACAGGTGTGGAGAGTGCAAGTCAGCTTCTGATGGAGGGGTAAGGAGAGGATGGACTGGGATGAACTGAGTGTCAAGGTGACTCAGAAAATGTCCTTGTTTGAATTTTCTCAACCTTCTCAGCTCTGTCTCCCTTTTCTCCACATGGATAATTACTTTATTTAGCTTCATTTAATTGAACTTGTTGAGTACACTTGCAAAGTCTTATGTTTGGTCAGGCCATTCTAACTGCTCAAGATGTCTTCTGTTTTCTTCTCACGTTTCCTAGTGCTCTTCGATCAGAGAGAGGCTTCCCAGGTAGTGCAGTGGTAAAAAATCCTCCTGATAGCTCAGGTGATTCAAGGGACATGAGTTCAATCCCTGGGTAAGGCAGATCCCCAGGGGAAAGAATTGGCAACCCACTCCAGTATACTTGCTGGTGAAATCTAATGGATGGAGGAGCCTGGTAGACTACAGTCCATGGAGTTGCAAGTCACATAACTGAGAGATTCAGCACCCACCTTATTAGAGAAGCCTCGGGTTTACATCCCTTTAATGATTTCATCTACAGCCCAACTATTTCAAAGTTTAAGTTTTTCAAGACACATAGTGGCAGGGGGGATGCAATGCCATTTCTTTCTTCCTAATATCTTAATATACTGACCACCTTTAACTGATATGGCCCATGTGTAATGGAGTTTATTTCTCTTTTTAAATCTCTAGTGTGACAAGTAGAATTAGAGGTGTGTTTTTATCTTCCCCAGTGAAAAATATGTCATGTTACATCATTGTAATACTAAATCCCTTCTAAAGGTAAGTAAAATAATAAAATATAATGATACCAATTGAAAAGTAACAATTAGACAAATCTGTGAGACCCTTCTAAGCTAGTATTTTGAAAGAGTCCATAGACCTGAGACACTTTAAAAATTTCACTTTTGTGGGTCTGTCACAGATTTACTAATCTAGAATCTTTATAGAGTGTGTCCTACCAAGCTGCTTAGAAAATGAAGACACAATAATAATATAGTTAACTTTTTTCAAAGTACTGACCTTACTGCTGAGCATCAAACTCAGAGCACAAATTTTAATTTTGCTTAAGATTTTGTGTTTATTTTTCTAGGTGGCATACTTATTCTCAGCCAATTATTTTGAGTACATACCTTGGAGCAAGTCAATTAGAAATCACTGAATGGCTGCATTTAAAAAGGCATACATGATTTATTAACACAAGTGTTAACATGATCTCAATGTTAAATCAGTAGATAGGAAGACTCACTTCTCTTTGCTGGGAGAGTTACCTGGGAAGCTTAGAAAGGGGCAGTAGTTATCTGATATTTTCTAATACCACGTGTCTCATATACATTCATAATATTTTAGAAAATGTGTTATATGTATATATTTATATAATATAAATGATATAAAATATAATGTTTTATAATACACAATAATTTAATAATAGAAAGTCTAAACTGTAATAATCAAATTTATAAATATAATATTTGATAATCTAAATACATACTATACAAATAAACATAATTTTGAAGACTATATTAAATTGCATTTTTCAGTATGACTATGGACATTTAAACAAATACACATGAGAAAGGACTATTTATTTCCAAACATTTTCACTGCTGATGTATCTCATGAAAATAAAAAAAAATAAACCTTGGGTACAATTAAAGTACATATCTCAAGAGATCAAAGGTGCTAATTGACCAATTCTTTTATGATATATATTTGTGAGTTTAAAAAGAGATTCTGGTATAAAAAGACAGTTTAATACTAGATTTCTGAAGACAATCCTTTATCATGAGACTGCTTTATAAAAACACTGAGGACAAAATTAATTCTGAATACAAATCTAAATTTGAGCTAAAAAATAGATTTGAATTCTTGAGAAGGTACATGCAAATAAACAATTACTTTGCTAATTTGGCTCTTATTTTATCCTGTCATTGGAAGGTGATATATGTATTTTCCATAGTTGTCATCAAAACCAAAACCATTTTCCCCATCAACTTCCTGATATCATTAGGGACCCATTATGTTAGAAATAGAGCTCTGTGATAATAGACACAGTAGCAGCTAAAACAGCCACAGAAAGAAGACGACTTATTGGGAATTCATAGAGTTCAGCACTATAGATGGGACAAATATAGTTATGTGTCAAAAATTGTGATGAATTTTGCAAGTATTACACAATATTTTCTCTTCCTGTTGCTTGATCATAAACCTGAAAAAAGGTGGAAGAGTCATGAAAGAAAAGGGAGTTTCCTTTTGATTAGTAAATCTCAGGTAAGTCTAATTGTATCATCCTCTTCTTTTCATTATTGTGTAGTTAAATGGCAACCGACTCCAGTACTCCTGCCTGGAAAATCCCAAGGATGGAGGAGCGTAGTAGGCTACAGTCCATGGGGTTGCAAAGAGTCGGACACAACTGAGTGACTCCACATTTTCCACACGTGTGTTTCCCACAATGAGACAGTTTTTATTTTTATATACCTGCACCTTCCAGCAACATTTAAGAAAAGTGCCTTTAATGACAGCCAAGACAAAATGTCTTCATTGACTAAATACTAAATAAAGGAATGAATGGATAAATAAGTAGGAACACTGTGAGCATGAGAGATACTAAGGGATTAAGTATATTTTATAAAACAGATTCCTTTGGGTTACTCAAGCAGAGTGCCTCATGTCTGAAATAAACTGCATTCATACCACATCAGTTTCAGTTTTACTTATCTATCATGTTTATGTCAATATAACTAGCAAATAAGTTATTTGATTTTTAGTTGAATCACTGTATATTTTAATTTTCTGTTTTAAATATAACAAATCATATTCATTTTACTATTTGTAGGCTTCTTTGCATCATATTATTGAGTTGAATCCTGTTATTGGCAATGAATTAGTTATTGTCTGATGTTGTAGCCAAGTGTTTCATGTTGAAAATAAACCACAGAGGCAAAACAATTTGGCTGCATCATAGACTATGTTCCACATTTAGAAATGTTCACCAATAGAAAGAAGGGTATGTGATAGGAAAAAAATACAGAGAATTTTACTATTAACATGTAAAATAAGCAGGATGTTTCTTTCCTTTTATATTAATATATAAGTCCCCTATATATGAATGAGTTCTGTTCCTAGAGTACACTGGTAAGTCCAGCTTGTTCATTAAGTCCAACAAAGTTAGCCTAGGTACCCAGGTAACACAATCAACTATATAGTTTTGTCCTGTAGTAGGTTTATAATAATTTTTGCACAACTAATGCATAAAAAAACAAACACAAAAGAGACAGGAAATATTTTGAATCTTACAGTACAGTACCTTGAAAAGTGCAGTACTACGGAACAACAGCTGGCATACAGGGGCCGGCACTGAATGAACAGGCAAGAAAAGTTACCGACTGAAGGGAAGAGAGGAGCTGGGAGATGGCAGAGCTGAAGATTGTCAGCGATAGTAACAGGGCAAGCTGCGATGTCCTCAGGCTTGACACTGATGCACAGGTTCTTGTTCCTTGCCAGATTCAGTTCTATCCATGAATACCCTCTTGAAAAATTGATCCAGAGGTGTCTGAGTAGTAGCTCTTTTATTCTTGTCATAGATGACAGGCTGGCAATGGATTGTATTCTGAACTGCTGTTGCAGCTTTCATGCACCATTCTACATTTGGGTCCTGAGCCTCAAAAAACTAACAGTGTCTCCTCAAATAAATAAAATCCCCTTACCATTTCCTGACTCTCTTCTGAGCAGCACCAGCTATATCACTGTTGCCTTTATGATTGCTTCCGCCCAACCTGCACCTGAAATAAAGGTCCTGCACTGCTGTACTCCACACAGCAATGCACAGTGATATACACAGAAGAGCAGTCGATTGCAGAGTATGGACAGTCTGCCAGACATGTAAGCTGACATGTGAGTGAACATGTGAACTCACATTTGCATCTCTGAAAGTTCACAACTTGGGGGCTCATATTAGGGAACACACACACACACACACACACACACATATGTGTGTGTTAATCACTCAGTTGTGTCCAAATCTTCGTGACCCCATGGACTCTAGCTCACCAGGGTCCTCTGTCCATGGGATTCTCCAGGCAAGAATGCTGGAGTGGTTGCCATGCCCTTGTCCATATTTTATATATATATATATATATATAAAACATCTCACTTACTATATGTAAATATATGCATATGGTTATACATAATATTTTGTAAAATATATATTTTATAAATTATATACATATATATTTACAAAATTTAGCAAGCCTTATTTAGTCCAAGGAACTATTAGATATGCCCACTGAAGATCTCTTTAAGCACCTAAAACAACCCTGTGAAGTAGTTACTGGCTGTTGAAATCTTATGACTGCCACACAAGGTATCATTACATTTTAAAATTTAAATTTCCAGCTGAGCTTCATGTTTTCTAAGAATAATACATAATCAATTACAGTATGTAAGTTTTAAAGTATATGAATTGGGTCCCAGAAATAGATAAGGGAAGAGGAAATTTCTAGAGAAATTTCTTTATAAAGCAATCTAGATAGATTTGTTTGTTTGTTTGTTTGTTTTTTTTTAGAATGTAACCAATTCCAATGAATGTGAACTTGGAATTTTTGAATAAGTTCTATTTTTTAAAATTAAAATCATGTACAAATTCTCAATTAACTTGAAGTCACTTAATTTTTGCTTACCATCTGTTACTCTCTCATTATGGGAATCTAGGTCAGTGCTGCTTATCATGCCTTTGGACTTGAATTTCCTCTAACTTTTCTTATCATTTTTCAGCAGAAAAGTCAAGGGTCTGATTTGACAGAAATGGCTGGGAACAATTTCACAGAGGTGATGTTTTTCATCTTCCACGGATTTGCAAATCACCCTAAACTACAAGTCGGCGTCTTCATGATGTTTCTTTTTATTTATCTCTTCACTGTTTTGGGGAATCTTGCACTAACTTTGTTAATCAGAATCGACTCTCAGTTCCACACACCTATGTACTTTTTCCTTAGCAATTTAGCATTCATTGATATATTTTATTCCTCTACTGTAACACCCAAGGCACTGGTAAATCTCCAGTCAATTCAGAAAATCCTCTCCTTCGTTGGCTGCTTTGTTCAAATGCATTTTTTTGTGGATTTAGTGTGTAGTGAGTGTTTTCTTCTGGGGTCCATGGCCTGTGACCACTATGTAGCTATCTGCAATCCCTTACTGTATTCCGCGGTCATGTCCCAGGAGGTGTGCAGGTGGTTGGGAGTCATCCCTTATATGATCAGCTTCACCAATTCTTTGGTCTCCATCTGTGTGATCAGCACATTGGCATTCTCTGATGCCAGCATCAATCACCTTTTCTGCAACACCACAGGTCTTCTAGCTCTGTCCTGCATGGATGCATTCAACACAGAAATGGTGATCTTTGTTTTAGCTGGCTTCACCCTTCTTAGATCTCTCTTTATCATCACAGTCACCTACATTGCCATCATTTCAGCCATCCTGCAAATCCGGTCTGCAGCAGGCAGACAGAAAGAATTTTCCACCTGTGTGTCCAACATCATTGGGGTGACTGTCTTCTATGGGTCCCTGCTTTTCACATATTTGCAGCCTGATAATACATCCTCCTTGACCCAGGCACAGGTGGCATCTGTAATCTATACCCTTGTCATTCCAGTGCTGAATCTGTTTATCTATAGTTTGAGGAACAAAGATGTAAAAAATGCTCTCCTGAAAGCATTTCAAAAACTGTTTCCATGACAAATCTGTACATGTTTCAATTAAAGCAAATCTGAAGTGTTTCAGGCATTCAATGGCTCAAAAATTTGGGAACTAGTAGAGTAACCCCCAAAAGAATAAGACAAAAGAAATGGTAACAGTCATGAAATGCAGGAGGTGAATTGTCATTTGATTTGTTGATATAGAATCCTGGATCGCCATGGAAAGAGTTCATTTCAGTACATAAATTATTCAGACATAGACATGCACAGATTTGTAAAGCATCTGAGTGGTGGCTAAACCCCACTTGTGATTATGCCATCACACTGCAAAAAGTTGAACTACTATTAAATTGATGTCTCATAAGTTTTGACATGCTGTTTTCTCCACTATCAACAAGTTAAGAGTAGAAAATTGGTAGACTAAATATTATTAACAAGAAATGATTGCTGATTAGACAAGAGGAAGTGAAAGCATAGAGAAATAATAAAAGCAATTATAAATCTGTGGTCGGAAGGGAATGGTTAGGGTTAGAGTTATTTATTTCCATGAGGTGTAAACACAAGTGATAAGAGGACATTGGGTAATACAGAGAAATCTCTTGGTAATGTGCATTCATTTTGCATGACAGTTAAAACTCTTACCATTTATCTATGAAACCTCATCTTATGAAGTAGAGAATATTAAAAAAAAAAAACACAGAGTTCCGTTTCTTAACAAATGCAAAGTGACTCCCTAGGTTCAAAGACTGAATAAACTCTGTGTGTGTGTGTGTATGTGTGTGTGTGTGTGTGTGTGTGTGTGTAGATTAATAAAGCACTGGCTATACACAATTCCTGAGGCATTTTGGAGGTATCTATAGAGATGGTGGCTCAGGTGCTAAAGAGTCTGCCTGCATTGCAGGAGACTGGGGTTTGATCCCTAGGTAGGGAAGATCCCCTGGAAAATGGAATGGCCACCCACTCCAGTATTCTTGCTGGAGAATTCTATGGACAGGAATTCCTGGCAGGCTACAGTCTGTGGTATCCCAAAGAATTGGACATGACTTAGCAACTGAGTACACATGCACATTAACACTCAAAAACTATTAGTTTTGTTGAAAATTATATTTAAGAAGTTATTTCAAAGACATCTGTCATGGTCTGGGTGTGAGTTGGAAAATAACTTCTAGACATGAGACAGAACGAGAGGGAAATAAAGTTTATTAGAGTGGGAGATGCTGTTAGTGGACTAGCTCAAGGGAGAACTGAAGTTGAACAGGGATCCTTAGTCCACTTTTATACCCATGGTAAAAGGAGTGGGATAGGGGTCTGGCAGGTTATTTGCTGATTGGGATGAGGCATGTATATTGGTTGGGGTGAGGAAGAGTAAGGCAAATGCCTTCTCCCCTCCTATGGGGTAGGAGGGGAGATAGGTTATACTGCTCAGGAAGACCTGAAATCCATTAATAGTGACAACATGGGGGAGGAAAGGACGATAAGGATCTGGTGTTTCTGTTCCTGCAATCCAAGACCTTCCTTGGTTTTATCTTCTTTTTTGTCCTTGGGTCACCACAACATCTTTTATTTATAAATATATTTTCAAATCACATTTTCCTTAGTGGTTAGGACATTGAAATTAGTGTATACAGAATTATACACTGTATAGGTGATTTTAAGTAATTGAATTCCACTGTTTAGGTATTGTTGAAATATGTTTCTATTTGGAGCAAAGAAAGCTTTATTCTAAGGTTAAGCAAGGAAGATGTGGTGTTCATGTTCAAGGGGCTTCTCAGCGGACTAGTGGTAAAGAACTCACCTGCCAATGTAGGAAAAATAAGAGATGAGAATTCAATTTCTAGGTGGGGAAGATCCCTTAGAGGAGGGCATGGCAACCCACTGCAGCATTCCTGTCTGGAGAATCTGATGGGCAGAGGAGCTGGCAGACCACATTTCATTGCATCGCAGAGTCAGACATGGCTGAAATGAGTTAACACACATGCACACATGTTCAAAAAACTCAAGCTCCCAGATGATTTCCAAGGAAAAATTTTTATAGGCAAAATTTGCAGGGAGTTCTGCAAGATACTTGACCTTCCTCTGATTGGTTAGTGGTGAGGTCACAGGGTGGTGTTCCAGGAGTTTGCTTTCTGGTACCAGCCAGTCTGGCGTCCCCGAGCTTGTGCTGAGCCTGAAGTTAACCATCCTCCACCTAGGTGGGGCCTTAGTTCCTATAGAAGATCTCAGTGACATGCATTGATATGTACCTCACTTGTGGAGGAAGCAGGACACTGGCCCGTTACTACAATATTGTTTCTTTCCACGTGTGCTCACTGACCTAAACAGTTATTGTTTGAATATGCCCCTTGAAACTCAGGAAAGGTCAAGGAGGATGAAAACCTTCTTTCTACAAAGAGGAAACTAGGGACAAGAAAATGCATTTGTACCTGGGAGGGCCCCACAGGTCCTACCGGTCTTCAATCCCTCTTTTCTTTGATAATCCTCAATTTTGTGGGGAACAGGTATTGGACAAGGAAGGGAATAGCATTTTGGATAGAGATGTTAATCATAAACTCAGCAGAGGAGCTCGGTTTTATGAGGACTTGGTATCAACATGACAAAATAAATAGTCGTGGTCAAATAAAAAATAAATATTCTGAAAGCATAATCCTAAACTTTAACAAAATGGATTTCAACATTGGGACATTACTGAGCAAGAAGAGCTTGCTTCTGGTAATTTTGCAATCGACATGGTTATTGAGGTGGCTTTACACTGAAAATAACTGAGAATTTCTCAGTTGGCTTAATTCCCTAAGTTGTCTGTCCTCAAATAAGTTTACACTGGCTTTTTAATTTCTAAAGATTCTTGTTTTAGCAGGAGACAAAGAAGTGCTATCTTTTGATGAATAGAATTGCTCTGCATCAAATGTATAACACATTAAAAAGTAGTTTCTTTATCAACATCAATAAATTATTACCTGAAATTCTGGGTGTATGAGCAAACTTGCTTGTAAGATTCATGTTTAAATCTATATAAACATTGATTTCATTATCATGAATCAGCAGAGAATTTATAATAATATTATAATCTGATATTTAGTCAGATTTAGACCCTTTTAGAGTCTTCTTCATCTTGGGCAAATAATCCTCAGTGAGATATTTAATATTTGATGAACATTTATGCAGGGGCAGAGATTACTTTGCTGACAAAGGCTTGAATAGTCAAAGCTATGGTTTTTCCAGTAGTCATATATGAATGAGAGTTGGACCATAAAGAAGGCTGAAAATCAAACAATCAATGCTTTTGAACTGTGGTGTTGGAGAAGACTCTTAAGAGTCCCTTGGACTGCAAGGAGATCAAACCAGGCAACCCTAAAGGAAATAATTCCTGAATATTCATTGGAAGGACTGATGCTTAAGCTGAAGCTCCAATACTTTGGCCACCTGATGTGAAGAGCCTACTCATTAGAAAAGACCCTGGTGCTAGGAAACATTGAAGGCAGGATGAGAAAGGGATGACAGAGGATGAGATGGTTGGATGGCATCACCAACTCAGTGAACATGAGTTTGAATAAACTTCAGCTGATGGTGAAGGACAGGGAAGCCTGGCATGTTACAGCCCTTGGGGTCACAAAGAGTCAGACACGACTCAGTGACTGAAGTGAACTCTGGAGGAAGGTTGGTCAAGGGGTATCAGTCAATGCATAAGGCATTTAATTATGGGATTTATGAAAGGTTAGCATAAAATCGGTCACATTATATTATGAAATTTTAGTTATAAAATGCAGATGGATACTGACTATATAGTATAATAAGTATGCAAATAGAGAAGAATACAATTAAGCATTTAATGAACAAAAATAGCTCAGATATTCACCAAAATTTGAGGTTATCTTCATATCATTTTTGAATTTTGTTATATACTCATTTTATTTTTGTACATGCTATATTTTAGTATGTGGTGATTCCCTTTAGAAATCATTTTTTTTTTTTTTACCACAAAACACATACACATGCATAGAAGAGCACAAGGGAATTTTTGGAGCTGATGGCTAGCTTTAGAACCTTGAATGTGGTGATGACATTTGAATATATGCAGATGTCCAAATTCATTAACAACTATATAGTAAATGTGTGTAAATCTTCCTGTATCAATTATACTTCAGGAGAAGGCAATGGTAACCCACTCCAGTATTCTTGCCTGGAGAATCCCAGGGACAGAGGAGCCTGGTGGGCTGCTGTCTATGGGGTCACACAAAGTCAGACACAACTGAAGCAACTTCGCAACAGCAGCAGCAAAGCTTAAAAAGCCAGTTCAGACCAACTCTGGAAGAATTTTCTGTTTCATATTTGGAGATTTCATTTTGTATTTAGTGGACATATTTACTCTTAGCATAGTGTCACACATATATTTAAATATAAGATATAACTATGAAATTTCATTGTGAAAAATGTATCTTTCCATCCCTGATGGTTACAGTCATAGATTAACCATTTCTCTAGAAATGATTACTCTACCACCACTGGAATAAATTTAAACTATCACAAAGGAAAACTAAAGCATTGGGCTCTTCATTGTGTGGCTCCTAAGGGAAAACACAACCAGCTTTTCAAAACTTAGCACAGCTGCATTTAGTCATTGAACTCTTGTCCTTGGAGACATGCAAAGCAATCTTTGATGGAAATTGTCCATACGGATGACCAGATGTTGCACAACCACCAATCCCCAGTATATGAGGTGCCCTGGAGTTTCCAGGATGAGAGGTAAAGCATATTCTACTCTGTATTCATACACAGTTAGATCCCTGATATTCTCTTTCAGACACAACATCCTGACAAATTTTACATTTGAACAACAGTTAAATAAAATTTCTATGTTGATTTACTTT